GTCCAGGCAATACTTCAGCATATCTAACGACCAAGTGTCAGCATGACAATAGTCAAATTCACAATAAGTGCTGCCAATATATGATCTGTTCACTCCTTGCCCAATAAATATGCCATTGTGCTCAAACGCTACAGAGAACAACAGAAACTGCAAAAGAAAAGACAGTTTTTTTGTTCAGACTATGATGCAAATCACAATAGTAAATGAAGTTCTTTTGACTATATAGTACACCAATAAATAACTAACAACATTTATCATCACTTAATTGAATGCACTGCAATATTAATCACAGGGCAGCACTAACTGAATTCGACAACATTCACTAACTGAATTTGGACAGCAAAGACAGAGCAATATCTGAATTTCAACAACAAGTAACAGGGCAATTCACACCCATAACAGGGCATCCATCACAATAATCACAGAGGAGTGCATACATCACAACAATCATATCTTCCTTCAAATCCAAGAACAACCCCTAAATTAACCCTAAATTAAGCCCCAAATCACCGCCACCGGCAAGCTAACATGGAAAGCAACGAAACAACAGTAATCGTCCTATCAAACGCCTGCATTCCCTTCATCGCATCAATTGTGGCAACAAAGCATCAATCTTTCCACCGAAATCATGAAGAACCTAGCCCGATCAAAACCCTAGGACAAGGGGGCAACCCAGCGGGAGAAGAGGTCGACCGAGCGCGTACCGTACTCAGGAGGGAACTCCCTGGGCTCCCGTAGGAGCGGCTCCATGCCGCGTCGTTCGGCGGCGGCGTCCAAACCGGCGGCAGACAAGGCGACGGCGTCGAGGCAGAGAAGGCGACGGCGTCGAGGCAGAGGCAGAGAAGGCCAGGGGTTAAGGGGGAGTTTGTGAGCACCGGGTCGAACCGGGCTTGTACTTATCTGGACGCAGGAGCCGAGCTACAAATATTGTAAAACACAAGAGGGAATGTAGAAAAGTGCCCAACACCAGCCGCCAGCCCTCTCTTCCCACGTGGCAGCCCAGTTGGCATGTTTCGGACTGTTTTGTAGCTAAACGTTACCGCATCAGAGTTGGTGTATGACTTTTATGGGGGTTTTTGTTTGTGTATGAATCCGTTACCGCAGAAAAATGACGAATATCTCAATGTGTGTATTACAGAGGAAGGCATGGCCTTATATACTCGAGAGAGCACGCGCAGGTGCTGTGTTGCTTACAACAAAAGGGAGCTAGTCTCCAGGAGGAACATGCGCTAGCTACGCGGGGAGTGGGGAGAGGCCACGATCACCACGTTGTGAGTGGGCGGCACGGTGTGAGCCATGTCAGTGTTGGCCATTTTCCAACAGCCCCCCGCAGTCGCAACAGGGTCCTCGACGATGTTGAGGCTGGACCTGAACTCGCAGAAGACGGCCGTCGGGAGGCCCTTGGTGAAGACGTCGGCGAACTGGGACGTTGAAGGCACGTGTAGGACACGTACGTCGCCGAAGGAGACGCACTCGCGAACAAAATGGAGATCAATCTCCACATGCTTCGTGCGCTGGTGCTGGACCGGGTTGGAGGAGAGGTACATGGCGCTGATGTTGTCGCAGTAGACGATCGTCACGCTGTCTGGTGGGTGATGAAGCTCGTGAAGGAGCTGATGGAGCCAGCAAGTGTCGGCGACGGCGTGGGCGACAGCGCGGTACTCCGCCCCCGCGCTAGAGCGCGAGACGGTGTGCTGGCGCTTGGACAACCACGAGACGAGGTTATCACCGAGGAAGACGCAGAAGCCCGACGTGGACCGGCGCGTGTCAGGGCAGCCTGCCCAGTCCGCGTCAGAGTAGGCGACCAGGTTGGTGTCGTGTGATCGCCGGAGCTGGAGTCCAAGATGAGCAGTGCCGCGCACATAGCGCAGGACGCGCTTGAGGTATGTGAAGTGGCTCTCGTGCGGGTCATGCATGAAGAGGCAGAGCTGCTGGACGGCGTAGGCGATGTCGGGACGCGTGAGTGTGAGGTATTGCAAAGCACCGACGAGGCTACGGTAGAGGGAAGGATCGGAGACGGGCGGTCCGTCCTGCGTGGAGAGCTTGCGCTTGGTGTCAGCGGGCGTGGCGATCGGGCGACAGTTGCTCATGGTGGCGCGCTCAAGGATCTCGAGCGCGTACTAGTTCTGGGAAAGAAACAGCCCGTCCGTGGTGTGGTGCACATTGACGCCGAGGAAGTGGTGGAGCTCGCCGAGGTCGGACATGGCAAACTCGCGGTGGAGCGCAGCGATGATGGAGCGTAGCAAAGCGGCGGTGCTGGCGATGAGGAGGATGTCATCAACATACAGCAACAGGTAAGCAGTGGATGTGCCGCGGCACATGATGAATAGCGAGGTGTCGCATTTAGAGGCGACGAAGCCGAGCGAGAGCAGGTAAGCTGTGAACCGCTGGAACCACACCCGGGGCGCCTGACGCAGACCGTAGAGGGAGCGGTGGAGCTGGCAGACGTGCGTGGGGTGGCGCGAGTCGACGAAGCCGGAGGGTTGTTGACTGTAGACGACCGTGTCGAGGTGGCCGTGAAGAAATGTGTTCTTCACGTCCAGTTGATGTACCGGCCACCCCGACGAGACGGCGAGGCTGAGCACCACGCGGATCGTCGCCGGCTTCACCACCGGGCTGAACGTCTCGCCAAAATCCACGCCGTGCTGCTGGGTGAAGCCGTGGAGAACCCATCTGGCCTTGTAGCGTGCTAGGCTGCCGTCGGGGTGGAGTTTGTGCCGGAAAATCCACTCCCCCGTCACCGTGTTGACACCTGCAGGACGGGAAACAAGAGACCACGTGTTGTTTTGCAACAAAGCATCAAACTCATCTTGCATGGCGCGGCGCCAGTTTGGGTTTTGGAGGGCTTGTTTGTAGGTGGCGGGGATGGGTGAGAGGGCAGGTGTGGCGGGAACGGCGGCGAGGGCAGTGGGGGAGTAGAGTTTTTTTGGTTGAAGAAAACCGACTTTGCCTCGGGTTTGCATGGCGTGATCATTGCGGCGGGGGGTGATGGGCACAGCGCGCGGAGGGAGGGGACGACCAGGTGGCGAGGTGGGAGGGGAGGGGGTCGGATCGCTGCGCGGAGTGGCTGACCAGGTGGATTCGGTCGAGCTAGGATTGGCGGGGGAGGCGGGGCCAGGGTGGGACCGAGCGGAGGGACGAGTGGTGGGCGCGGGATTCGCGGGTGTGGGATCCGAGGTGGGTCTGGGCTGTTAGGTTGGTTGGGGAGCGACCGCAGGAGGCGCGTGGGCAGGCGGCGATCCCGATGCGGATACGCCTGGATAGTACGAGGTAGGTAGGATTCGCATGGGATTTTCTATGGCTGGTGGGGGTGTTGACGTTGTAGATCATGGGGTAGGCGTGGTGTGGAACCCCGGGGCGTGGACCGAGGACGCCGACGGCGTTCGGTGGAACCCACGGTGCACGGCCGGCCGGTGGGAAAGGTGCGCCCCACGGGGCGAAGTAGCCCATCCAGGGCTGCTGGGACGAAGGCGGATGCCCTGGAGGCCCCCCGCGACCACCGGAGCCGCGACCACGCCCGCCGCGGCCATGCCCGCGCCCGCCGCGGTCCGAAGAGCGATCGGGTTGCCGCTGGATGGTGCCGCCTGTGGAAGCGGAACCGCCGCCACCACCGCTGGAGCTGCCGGAGCCGCCACCACCACCGCCGGAGCCGCCTCTATGGGTGGCGATGAGGGCGGTGGCCCCCGCCGTGCGCGCGCGCGTCGAGGCTGATTTCCTCCAGCATCAGCCGGGAGCGGGCCTGGACGAAGGTGGGGAAGGGCACCTGCATTGGTAGCAGGGATGCCATGACACCGAAGCGCGGAGCAAGGCCGCGGATGAGCTGGAGGGTGAGGGTGTTGTCGGTGATGTGCTCGTCAAGATCGTCGAGGGAGTCCGCGAGCGCCTTGAGGCGCCTGCAGTACTCAGCGATCTTCATGTCACCTTGAACGGTGGCGCGGAACTCGGCGCCGACATGGATGGCCCGGCCCGCGAGATTATCGCGGAAGAAGGCGTCGAGGAGGAACCATGCATGATAGGCAGTGGAATCTTGGGCAGCAATGACATCGTAAAGTTCGTCCGTGATCGTACCGTAGATCATGAGGAGGATCTGGAGATCGTCGTGGCGCCACTGCGCAGTCTGAGTGCGCGGGTCGAGGTTGACGAGGACGTGGCTTTCCACGCCGGATTTGCGGAGGATGAAGGACATGATCCGCCTCCACTTGGAGTAGTTGCCACAGACGGCGTCCAGCTTGAAGTCGCTGTGGGCGCCGACGTTGACGGCGCGGATGGAAGGTGGCGGCGCCGTCGAGGATGACGCAGCGTCGGAGGTCACCGCGCCGAGCGGCGCGACGGTGAGGTGCAGCGGAGCAGTGGCCGGAGGAGCGCTCTGATCGGTAGGTGGTGTGGGAGTGGTGGGCAGCGGAGCAGTGGAGCTGGGAAGGGGTGGGCTGTCGGAGTTAACGCCGGTGTTGGGCTGCTCGCCGGCATCGGAGCCCTCGTCAGAGGCGTGGGATCCGGCCATGGGGTACAGGGAGGAAGGATGGCTCCGGTGCCAAGAAGAATGACGAATATCTCAATGTGTGTATTACAGAGGAAGGCATGACCTTATATACTCGAGAGAGCACGCGCAGGTGCTGTGTTGGTTACAACAGAAGGGAGCTAGTCTCCAGGAGGAACGTGCGCTAGCTACGCAGGGAGCGGGGAGAGGCCACGGTCACCGTGTGGTGAGCGGGCGGCACGGTGCGGGCCGAGTCAGTGTTGGCCGTTTTCCAACACCCGCCGCGCAAGTTTATGTACCCCAGGTGTAATTAACTCGAGAAAAAAAAGACTGAGAAAGAGACTTGTTTTCACTCTCTAATTCACCCAGTGGAGCTGTCCCTACCCCAAACCCTTCCCCTTCATGGTGACGGCGCATTCGATCCGATCCGTTCCCACACTTTCCCAGCCCCCGCCACTGGCGTCCGCAGCTCCGCCCCCCGCCCCCTTTCAGTACTCCAAATCGCTTGCTCGAACCCTCCTCCATGGGGCACTGCGGTAGGGAGATCGGCTCCAAGCGAGCGAAGCTCCCGGCCGCCGACGGCGCAAGCGAGGACCGCCTCAGCGCACTACCGGACGACGTTCTTATCGGCATCCTCCTCAAGCTCCGCCGCACCGCCTACGCCGCTCGGACCAGCGTCCTGTCCCGCCGCTGGCGCCGCCTCTGGGCCCTCCTCCCGAATCTCAACTTCACCGGCGATGCCGACCACCACCGCATACTCCCTGCCCTCGCCGCCCATCAAGCGCCGGTGCTCCAGGGCCTAAGCGCCTTCGTTGACGACATCTCTGCCGAATCCGTGGCGACCTGGCTCCCCATAGCCGCGCGCCGCCTCTCCGGCGGTATACTGCTTTACAACGCTGTACCGCAGAACCAGGCCAGGGAAAGAGGCGTCTTTGAGCTGCCACGCTTCGAGAACACCACCTCTATCGTGTTCGACCTAGGATTTCTTGGCCTTGCCGTGCCGCATTCCAGCGTATTCGCCCGCCTCGTCTCTCTCTGGCTGTTTGGTGTCCATCTGCATGGCCCGTGCGAGCTTGGTGACGCTCTCTCCTCACCGCGGTGCCCATCCTTACGAGAACTCAAGATCCGCAATGCCTGGGGTCTTGGTAACTTCACCATCCACTCCGAGTCTCTCCTGCAAATGGAGCTGAATAACTTGTATGGCTTGCAGCAGCTCACTGTAGAAGCGAAGGTACTTCAAGAGTTATATGTGAGCTCTTGCTTTGAGAATTCTATCACTGCGGTGAGTCGACCGGTTGCAAACATCTCAGCCCCTCAACTGGCGTCACTCCACTGGACGGATGCTTATGAACCAAGCTCTGTCCAGCTTGGCGAGATGGCACATCTCCAACGTCTGGAGACTGGTCATTTTTTTGTGTTTGGACATTATTTGGATGACTACACACCAAATCGCAATTGCTTGAGGCTCTTGCAGCAATTTGAGGTCATGCACCATTTAAAGCTCTCGCTGATCTATCTGCTGGTGAGTTCATTTTTGTGTGGGTTATGTGCTAGCAAGTCAATATATAGCGACACAGGCATGGCGTTTGAAAGGAGGGGTATCTCATTTGGGATATCTGAGAATAGCAATGCCGAATTTTCACTTGTTTTGCTTTCCTCAATTCGATGCAACATATCTGAGGCTGGGAGCATCTCTTGGATGATGGCAGTTTTTCTGCCTTTTAAGTATTTAGCATTATAATTATACTAGCACTACTGCACTTGTACATTATTCAATGGGACATGAACTCCCAAGAGCGGAGAGGAGACCATTACCTGTGTGTTAATCACTTCGTAGAAAATGATATGCGTGTCCTTTTCTAACAGTTATTTTCTATTGTGACTTCCTACAAACCTACAGGACAAAGGTCACCATCAATACCTGATGGAGAACATGACAAGGCTCCCTAACATTACACTCTTGACCCTGAATGTAATGACAAAAGGACATTCATTTGGAGCAAGCTTATTCCATATTCTCAGGATGTGTACTGGTGTAAGAAAGTTGGCTCTTGTCTTTCTCGGAAAACCTAGCAATCTGGAGGTAACATTATTCGCAATCTATTTATATACTTCATCCTTCCGGGGTTTATAGTTTCCCTCGAATTTTGAGCCTAAATTTGACCAGAAATACGACTTAAATGTACCACTATATATCATTGCATTCATACTCGAAAGAAGTTCTGTAATGATATACTTTTTGTTGCTATATACCACAAAAAATATATATCATTGGTTTCATACTCGAAAGAAGTTTTGTAATGATATACTTTTTGTTGCATATAACTTATAACTTATTAGTAAAACTTCAGGTCAAAGTTAGGATCAAAATTCAAGGGGGGACTTATAAACCCAGACAGAGGAAGTAGTACTTGAATTGCCAGAGAAACCACATAGCATTTCTTGGTACAACTATGTGTTGGAGCTGCTAGTTGCCCTGTTCTGAAGTGTTGGTTTGATACTGATACCCTGCTCCAAAGTATGTCCCTGTTGAAATATAGTACATTTGATGGGAAGTTGACCGAGTAATTTCATGACAGGATCAACCTTCCTAGCGTGGTTATGATTTAGGAGATAATGATTGCTTGGGGCATGTGCTTTTTAAAGAAGGTTCCATAGAAAGGAAGCCTTAAGGTCAATTTAAGATCATCTGAAATTCGGGTTATCACTAGCACAATACCTGAGGATTTGTGTAAATTTTGATAATGTAATGTCCATACAAACCACTCTCTCTTTGTATAGAACAATCCTATTTTCTGTAATAGATCAGCTTCAAACTAATTTCCAGGTATCGTTTTAAGTTCTTTTTGTTGATATGTCATATCTCAGAGAATTCAGTCTGGTACTTTCTGGTTTCATCTCTTTCTATGTTTATTATCAAATCATGTCAGTTAATCTTACTAAGCTAGCATGCCCCTCATTTCAGGCACAAGCCACATGCCCATCAGGTTGCATTTGTGATCAACCACTAAACTGGAAAAGCGAGGAACTCATATTAAATTGCCTCCCAGAAATAGAAATCAATGGGTTTGGAGGAACTGAACATGAAGTTGCTCTTGTGAAATTGTTATTCAATTGGGCAGCAGTGCTAAAAAAGATGACAATAGCTTTCCATTACTCAATTCCTAAAAGGAAGGCTGAGGAGTTAGGCCACATGTTACTAGGCTTCTCCAGCCCAGAAATATTGATGGACTTTTTGCATATCAAGTATTCTCGAGAAGGCGTACACTCGACAAGGCTCCAACTTTCTGTAACACCTAACCTGTGGTTGGTGGGCCCAGCCAGCTGGCCAGACAAGTGGTGTGCGTGGGTGGTGTTAAAATGGCCGCCTGTGGCCGTGGTGGATCACGTGTGTGTTGATACTCTGAACTCTGAATTCTTCCTCTGCGATCCATCCCCTCCTTCCTCTCCAAGCTTTTCCTTCCCCCTCGTTCGATCTGGATCCTCTCCCCCCCCCTCACTTCCTGGGGTGTTACAACTGGTAATCAGAGCCACAAACCCTCCCGAAATTTTTCTTCCTCGCTTGATTGGGAGTCGGTAACATCCACCGCGCCGGTGTGGTTTGCTCCGACGAGCCACACAAAATCCGTCGCGGGGTTCGACGCCCTCTTGAGCAAGACGACGGCTCCTCCCAAGGCATTAGCGGCGACGCGGCAAGTGCTGGCCGCCATGGACGAGGGGAACACCAACATCACCAAGATGCTGGAGACGCTGTGCGCCAAGATCGACGATCAGAAAGCGGCTCACGAGATGCTGGAGACGCTGTGCGCCAAGATCGACGATCAGAAAGCGGCTCACGAGAAGCAGATCGAGCTCCAGGCCGCCTTCAACGCGCAGATCTCGCAAGAGATGCGCGGCCTCTCACGGCAGCTCGATCTGACGCAGGCAGACCTCGATCTCACGCGCAAGACGGTGGAAGGATCAGCCTTTCCGCCAGGCTCGGTCACCACGCACCTCCACCAGCCCGCGCAACCACAGCAACCCCCACCGCCTCCCCCTGCTCCGTCGTCGCGCCCCGTTTCGGATCCGTCACGGCCGTCGTCGTTGCACGCGCGCTTGGGCGATCATCGCCCACCTCTCTTTCCCGTGCCGCCACAGGGAGGGTTCGTCGCCGCGCCGACCGCGTCCCCACCGGGCTACCACTCCAACGAGTACCACAAGCCCCCGAAGCATGATTTTCCCAAGTTCGACGGCACGGCGCCATACTTATGGCTGGACCGCTGCCTCGCCTACTTCGAGCTCTACAAGGTGGCTACACACCAGTGGGTTGCCACCGCCGCGCTCTACATCGACGGCCAGGCAGCACACTGGCTCCAAGCGTTCCGCCAATCGCATCGCAACATCACGTGGGACGTGTTTACTTCGGCGATTCTGGAGGAGTTTGGCGCCGACGAGTTCGAGATGGTGATGCACAAGCTCCTGCAACTCCGGTAAACAGGCACCGTCGCTGAGTACCGCGTCGCGTTCGACGAGCAGATGTACCACTTGCTCGCACTCGATCCGTCAATCAACACCAAGTTCTTCGTCACGCAATTCCTTCTCGGCCTGAAGGATGAACTGCGTGGCCCGGTGCGCCTCCAGGCGCCGTCAAGCATCACGCGTGCCTCGGTGCTCGCGCGCATCCAGGAGGAAGAACTGGGCACGACCCGTGCACGCCCTCGCATCACACCCGCGAGCCGACCACCACCAACAGTTGCCGCAGCCGTTCCACAGCGGGTCGTGGCCGCACCGGTGCGCGCCCAAGGGGACGAGTATGCACGGGAGCGGCAGATACGCGATTTCCGCCGGGAGAACAACCTCTGTTTCAAGTGCGGGGATCGGTACTCCAAAGAGCATCGCTGCGCCCAGCCCGTGCAGTTACTCACCATCAACGTGGGCGTCCACGGCGAGGTGCTCTCCGACGACACCATCCATGCCCTGCAGCTGCTCGACGACCCGGGGCCGGCGGCGCAACCCCCTGCTCCGGCCGCGGACGCGCCTGAGTGCTGCCTTCTCTTGTCGCAGGCGGTCGACGGCACGGACTCCACGACGACGATCAGGTTGCACGCCCTCGTCGGGAATCAGGTCATGCTCCTGCTGCTCGACTCGGGCAGCACCCACAGCTTCGTCAACAAGGCCTTCGTCGATTGCCTCGGCCTCGCCACAGAAGAGATGCCGCCAACTGAGGTGCGCGTGGCCAACGGCGACAAGCTCACTTGCACGCGCAGGGTGCCCGGCCTCAAGTGGTAGATGCAGGGCCACACCTTCGATACGCCAATGCGCGAACTGGAGATCGGAGCGTACGATGGCATCCTCGGCATGGACTGGCTCGCCCAGAACAGTCCGATGACGTGCCACTAGCAAGACAAGTGGGTGAAATTCCAGCACGACAGCGAAGAGGTGACTCTGCGCGGCGTGTCCACCAAGCCGGCCACCTCACTCAAGGCCGTCGGGCCCGAAGAGCTGCGCAAGATGGTGCCAGAAACGACGTTTGGGCCATGGCCATGGTGGACACCTGCAGCGGTGCGCCGCGCCGCAAATGTGCAAGCCAGACCCCGCTCGCAGACCTGCTCGAGGAGTTCGCTGACGTGTTCGCGGCACCGAAAGGGCTTCCTCTGCACCGCCAGTACGATCATGCCGTCACGCTGGTGGAGGGCGCGGTCCCGCGAACACGCGCCCGTATCGCTACTCGCCTCTGTAGAAGGACGAGATCGAGCATCAGGTCAAGGAGATGCTGGACTCGGGTGTGATCACGCACAGCGTCAGCCCCTACGCCGCACCGGTGCTGCTCGTGAAGAAGAAGGACGGCACATGGCGGTTCTGCGTCGACTATCGCCGGCTCAACGACGCCACCATTAAGAACAAGTTTCCCCTCCCCATCATCGACGAACTCCTGGATGAATTGGCCGGCGCAGCAGTGTTCTCCAAGCTCGACTTGCGCGCTGGTTACCACCAGATCAGAATGCGTGAGGAGGACGAGCCCAAGACGACGTTCAAGACGCACCATGTGCACTTTCAGTTCAGAGTCATGCCGTTCGGCCTGACGAACGCGTCGGCCACATTTCAGTGCTTGATGAACTCCGTTTTCGGTAAGTATGTCCGCAAGTTCATCATCATCTTCCTTGACGATATCCTTGTCTTCAGTGAGACCTGGGAGGAGCACTTGGAGCACCTGCGTATCGTGTTCGAGTTGCTCCGGGCGCACCAGCTCTTCGTTAAGGAATCCAAGTGCACATTCGCAGCTGACCACATCGACTACCTTGGTCATGTGATCTCTAAGGAGGGTGTGGCCACGGACAAGGAGAAGACGCAGGCCATGGAGTAGTAGCCGACGCTGACGAACGCCACGGAGCTGTGCGGCTTCCTCGGCCTCACGGGCTACTACAGAAAGTTCATCCCGCACTATGGCATCATTGCGAAGCCACTCACGCAGCTACTGACGAAGAAGGGCTTCTCCTGGACGGCACAAACACAAGCTGTGTTCGAGACGCTCAAGCAGGCGATGGTCACCACACCCGTCTTGGCTCTGCCAGATTTTGCGCGGCCGTTCACGATCGAGACGGATGCCTGCGACACGGGCGTGGGCGTGGTGCTCGCACAGGATGGGCACCCCGTCGCGTACTTCAGCAAGGCTCTAGGCATACGCAACCAGAAGCTCTCCACCTACGAGAGGGAATTCCTCGCCGTGATGATGGCCGTCGACAAGTGGTGTCAGTACTTGCAACGCAGCCCCTTCGACATCATCACAGATCACAAGTCTCTCTGCAACCTGGGCGAACAACACCTGGAGACCGAGCTCCAGCGCAAGGCCATGGCAAAGATGGTGGGGTTACAATTTCGTTTCCAGTACAGAAGGGGGCTGGACAATGGCGCCGCCGACGCGCTCTCGCGCGTGGGCAGACAGTTCGAGCTGGCCGCACTCTCCACGTGCCAGACGGATTGGGTGCAGAAGGTGGCCAACTCCTACGCCACTGACGCCGACGCCCAGGAATGGCTGCAGCAACTGGCGATCCACAGCCCGGACGATCAAGGCTACGAGCTCTATCGCGGCATCATCAGGCACCAGGAGCGTCTCTGGATCGGGGCCAATTCGGCCCTGCGCACCAAGCTCATCGCCGCGCTGCACTGCAGTGCGGTGGGTGGTCACTCCGGCTCCACCGTCACCTACCAGCGCGTGCGCAAGCACTTCGACTGGCGCAGCCTCAAGCGCGACGTCGCCGAGTTCGTGCAGCAGTGCGCCGTGTGCCAGCAGGCCAAACACGAGCACGTCAAGCCGGCGGGTCTCCTCGCCCCGCTGCCCATTCCAACTGCGCCATGGCAGGACCTGACCATGGACTTTGTGGAGGGCTTGCCGCCCTTAGAAGGATACGACACGATCAAGGTGGTTGTCGACCGCTTCACCAAGTTCGCCCACTTTGTTCCTCTCCGCTAACCCTGCAACGCCAAGCAGGTGGCGCACGCATTCTGGGAGAACATGGTGAAGCTGCACGGCATTCCGGCGTCCATCGTCTCCGATCGCAACAAGATCTTCACCAGCCACCTATGGCGCGAGCTGCTCGCGGGCGCTGGCACCAAGCTGCTCTACTCGACAGCCTATCACCCCCAGACCGACGGCCAGAGCGAACGGGTGAATCAATGCATGGAGATGTACCTCCGATGCGCAGTCCACGACTCGCCGCACCAATGGCGCTGGTGGCTGCCAATGGCGGAGTTCTGGTACAATTCAACCTTCCATGCGTCACTCAATGGCACCCCCTTCAAGGCCCTCTACGGCATGGAAGCAAATCTCGGCGCCATGGCTTCTTGGGCGGAGTCGGCGCCGGCCGACGAGGAGATGGACTGGGCGGCGCACGCCGCGCACATCCACGCACAGCTGGAGCGCGCACAACATCGGTTCAAGAAGAATGCCGACCGCAACCGCACCGAGCGACACTTTCAGGCGGGCGAACAGGTGCTGTTCAAGCTTCAGCCGTACGCGCAGCGTTCGGTGGTCAATCGCCCCTGTGCCAAGCTCGCCTTCAAATACTTCGGCCCTTTCAAGATCATCGAGAAGATTGGGGCACTCGCTTACAAGCTCGACCTGCCGCCAGAAAGCCAAGTCCACCCTGTCTTTCACGTGTCGCAGCTGAAGCCCTTCACCCCCGACTATACGCCGGTGTACGGTGAACTTCCCAAGGCGCCGGACCTCTCCGTCGACAACCTCACGCCGGCCCGCATCCTGGACAGACGCATGATGAAGCACGGCGATGCACCGGTGGTGCAGCTCAAGGTACAGTGGGGCACCGGCGACTCCGCACCGACATCATGGGAGGATCACGACGTGCTGCGCAACCGTTTTCCGGCGGCACCACTTTGGGCGGAGGCGGAGAACGAGCAAGACACTAACGAAGAAGATGAAGGCGCGTCTTAAGGAGGGAGGAATGTCACACCTAACCTGTGGTTAGTGCGCCTAAGAGCTGGCTCGTGGCCCAGCCAGCTGGCCAGACAAGTGGCGTGCGTGGGTGGTGTTAAAATGGCCGCCTGTGGCCGTGGTGGATCACGTGTGTGTTGATACTCTGAACTCTGAATCCTTCCTCTGCAATCCATCCCCTCCTTCCTCTGCAAGCTTTTCCTCCCCCCTCGTTCGATCTGGATCCTCTCCCTCCCCCTCACTTCCTGGGGTGTTACACTTTCCCCTTCTTTTCAGTTTTTAGAAGCTTCAGGTGTGGAAAATCCTAATGCTGGCATGTAGAAGAGTGGTGATGAATTCGTGAAGTTAGATTAATGCATTTATGATTGGCTTGCGCACAATGCAGGATGCCTTGTGGGTTGTGTGTTTCTCTGTTAGATGAGATGCACAGGAAGGGGGTGTGTAGCTTAGTTTCTGCTGTGAACTGCTAAATAACTAGTAGCAAAGACTACACCATCGAATTATTTTGGTAATGAAATATTGGTAGATCCTTTGTATGTTTTTCCTTTTTCTGAACTTTGTGTGAAACTAGGAACCCATGATTTATTAACATTGTTCATGAATTCTGAGCAACATACATTTGTGAGACTATATTGAGGTAACTTGGCTTTAACTAAATTCAAATGACTTGGTTTCATGTATGAATTTACGGCTTTTATCTGTGAGGCGATTAGTTAATGGCTAACTGGTGAAGCTCCATGTGTCATGGCCGAAGAACACATGCTGGTCCAAAGTTTGTGTTAGTCAAAGCTACATTGATATGTAAAATACTTCCCTTAAATACACAAAAACATTGAAATGCTACCACGAGATTAGCTGTGATTCGTATTTGTTGGGTTAAAGTGTCATGTCATCTCTGATTAACGACAAAGTATGAAGGAGTCTTCATTGAGTACTTGTGATTTACGGCCATATTTGTTGTTTAATTTATATTGGGTTAAAGTCATACTTGTTTCCCTCCCATCTAAAGACAATCATTGTTGCTAGTAAGGTTTTGAGAAAGATGCCACACACCTAATGCCTTTTAGAGTTAAGATTACTTGGGAGTGATATTACAAAAGTCTTGACAACTACTCCCTCCGTCCGAAATTATTTGTCGCTCAAATAGATGTATAGGTAGTATAAGCTTTTGAGAAGTAGAGTTCGTGAATTGGTGAAAGTCACTGTCAAATGTATATGTAGATTCATACATTTGTCCTCTGATTTAATTCATTCACGGTAACTGGTGAGGAACGGAAGCATTCAGATTAAATTTGTTCAAACATCGATTCTGAACCACCAAAATTAACACAGCTCCACATTAAATTTATTACTCTTCATATCCTGGTTACAGGTCGGGGGCCGCCGGCGGATCTGGGCGGGGCTTCCCTGCTTGGTGGCGCTGCGGCGCTGGCAGCGGTGTGGTCTGCGCGGGGCGGTGAGCGCGCGGGCTCCTCCTCATCCCGATATGATGGCGCCGCGGTGGCGCCGACGCTCGGGCGTGCGGCGGGGTACGCAAGGATGGTCGGCGCGTGTCTTCCTCCCCGATCTGATGGCTCCACGGTGGAGCCAGTGCTCGGGCGGTTGGCTTTAGCAAGCGGTGGCAGGCGCTGGGATCTCGGCGGCGCTCCGACGTGTGCAGGCGGGGGTCCCTGTGCGTGGTCGGCGGCTCCGTCTCTGACCCGGACGGCGCGGGGGATGGCGGTGGCCCGGCGTGGCCGGCGATCTAGATGCAGTGGTGCCGGTGGCTCGCTGATAGGCCGGTACTCTAGGGTCTGCCTGGTGGTGCTGGTGGTGATGGCGGTCCGGGCACGAGAGTTGGATCCATTCGAACTGACGGTGGCCGTATGCATCTCCCAGATGCAGAGGCCGGGGGTCATCCTCCTTTTCTAAAAAAATATATCCTGGTTACAGGTGTAGAATATGTGAATTGCACGATGTATTGCTCTCGTGCATAGGCACATATATATGATGTACAAGGTGGGGCCTCTAACTTAATCTATACAACAAACTAGAGAGGTGGGCCTAGTCAATATACATGCACAAATAATATACTCAACACCCCCCCGCAGTCGAAGCGTCGCCGGTGACGCAAAGACTGGACCAAAAGCCCTCGAAGGTCGAGGTGGGTAGTCCCTTCGTCATGACATCAACGAACTGCTGATCGGTGGGCACGTGTAGAACACGAACACGACCAAGGGCGACGTGCTCCCTGACGAAGTGGATGTCGAGCTTAATATGCTTCGTCCGTCGGTGATGGACAGGGTTGTCAGCAAGGTACACCGCGGAGACGTTATCACAGTAGACGAGTGTTGCCTTGGTAACCTCACATAGCAACTCCTGAAGTAGCTGTCGTAGCCAAGAGCACTCCGTGACGGTGTTGGCCACGACCCAGTACTCAGCCTCGGCGCTCGATCGTGAGACCGTGGGTTGCCGTTTAGACGACCACGAAATCAGAGAGGGCCCGAGGTAGACGCAGTAGCCAGAAGTGGAGCGTCGAGTGTCGGGACACCCAGCCCAGTCGGCGTCGGAGTAGGCGACAAGGCTGGTGTCAGGTGATGCCGTCAGGGTGAGACCCATGGCTGTGGTGCCACGTATGTACCGAAGTATATGTTTCACGAGAGCCCAATGGGTGTCACGAGGAGCATGCATATGAAGGCACACCTGCTGGACAGCATACTGAATGTCCGAATGCATCAGTGTGAGGTACTGAAGCGCACCGACGATGGAGCGGTAGAAAGGAGCGTCGGACGCCGGAGAACCCTCGACGGCGGACACCTTAGCCTTCGAGTCGACAGGCGTGGAAGCAGGCTTGCAGTTAAGCATGCCCGCTCGCTCCAGAAGCTCGTAGGCGTACTTCTGCTGGTGCAGGAAGAAGCCAGTGGCCCGACGCACGACCTCGATGCCGAGGAAGTAGTGGAGAGCCCCCAAGTCCTTGAGGGCGAACTCGGTGCCGAGGCGAGCTGTGATCTGCTGAAGTAGCGCTGGCGAGGATGCAGTCAGGATGATGTCGTCGACATACAGGAGGAGGTACGCGGTGGCTGGACCCTGGTGATAGACGAACAGGGAGGCATCGGACCGTGTGGACCGGAACCCCTGCTGCTGAAGGAAGGCCGCGATCCGCTGGTACCAAGCCCGAGGTGCCTGCTTCAACCCGTAGAGAGAACGGGAGAGCAAGCACACATGGTCCGGATAGTCGGTGTCGACAAAACCAGTAGGTTGCTGACAGAACACCTGCTCGTCGAGATGGCCATGCAAGAAAGCATTGGACACATCGAGCTGGTGTACTAGCCAGGCGCGAGAAACAGCAAGCTGGAGAATCGCGCGAATCGTGCCTGGTTTGACAACCGGGGCGAAGGTGTCGGCGAAGTCCACGCCGGCACGCTGGCGAAAGCCGCGCACCACCCAACGCGCCTTGTAGCGCTCGAGAGAACCGTCGGGGCGAGTCTTGTGGCGGAAGACCCACTTGCCAGTGATGACATTGGCACGGGGAGGCCACGGAACAAGCTGCCACGTACGGTTGTGCTGCAGGGCGTCAAACTGATCACGCATCACAGCTAGCCAGTTCGGATCCCGAAGGGCTGCGCGAGCGGAGGTGGGGAGCGGAGACGGCGCCGAGGTAGATGCGGCACACGCGTACTCGTCCGACGGGTAGCGCGTGCTAGGACGAAGTGTCCCTGTCCGAGCCCGAGTGACCACACCAGTGTCGGGGGCGGCCGCAGCGACGGGGGCCACGGGGGCCGCATCGGGAGCTACCGAAGGGGCCGCGGCTGGGGCGGCCAAGGAGACCGTGGCAGGGGCCGCGGTGATGGGGGCCGCGGCAGGGGCCGCAGCAACAGGGGCCGCCGACACGGGGGCCGTGGCTGGAGGAGGTGCCATAGGCGGGGGGCGCACCTCAAAGCCAGGGGGCGGGCCAAGAGAGGCGCGCGAGCGCCCTGGGAGTGGCGTCGAGGAGCCCGCGTCACCGGTGGCGGGAGGAACAGCCGGGGGTACCTGGTGAAACGGAAACACATGCTCATCAAAGTAAACGTGCCGAGAAGTGAACACACGGTGGGAGACAGGATCGTAGCACCGATATACCTTGGAGTTGGAGGGGTAGCCGATGAAGATGCAAGCGACAGATCGAGGTGCAAGCTTGTGAGAAGCAGTGTCGGCAGTGCTGGGATAGCAAAGGCACCCAAAAATACGCAAGTCGTCATAAGACGGGGGCGTACCAAAGAGAAGATGGTGAGGTGTGTAGTTCCACCGTGGGCGGCAGGGTCTAATGTTAATAAGAAGTGATCCAGTGGCGAGTGCGTCCGGCCAGAAACGAGGCGTCACGTTGGCATGAAACAGGAGCGTGCGAACGCAGTCATTCAAAGTGCGAAGGACGCGTTCGGCTCGACCGTTCTGCTATGAAGTGTAAGGGCATGTGAGGCAGAAAACTGTGCCGTGATGCGACAAAAAGGTGCGGTAAGCGAGGTTGTCGAACTCTTTTCCATTGTTCGTCTGAAGCGCAAGGATGGGACGCCCAAACTGCGTGCGGACATAGGAGTAAAAGGCCGTCAAGGTGGAGAGTGCGTCCGACTTTTTGCGCAAAGGAAAAGTCCACACGTAATGAGAATAATCATCAAGAATGACCAGATAATATAAATAGCCCGAATTACTAGGAACTGGAGAGGTCCACACATCGCTATGAATCAATTGAAAGGGGAAAGAAGCAATGGTGGTGGAATTATTAAACGGCAGGCGTACATGTTTGCCAACTCGACAGGCATGACAAGTGTGATCCTCAATCTTAGTAGAACTGAAACTGAAACTCTTGAGAATATTACAAAGTGTGACGGGGTTGGGATGACCCAAGCGAGCATGCCAGAGATCGACGCCAACGAAGAGAGCGACCGGTGCGGCGGTGGTGGAAGAAGATGGATGTACCGGATAAAGCTCGTCGGGGCTGTCACATTGGTGGAGTACCATCCTGGTTCGAGCGTCCTTGACACAAAACCCAATACCGTCAAATTCAACAGTAACAGGATTTTCACGGGTGAAACGTTTAACAGAAACAAGGTTTTTAATAAGATTAGGAGACACAAGTACGTTAGACAAAGATAAAGGTGTAGAAGTAGAAGGAAAAACAGTGTGTCCAATATGTGTGATAGGAAGTGTGGAACCATCGCCGACAATGATGCGGCGGTCGGTGGAGACAGAAGTAAAAGAGGCAAGGTTACCAGGATGAGCAAACATGTGAGCCATAGCACCGGTGTCCATGTACCAATCAGCACCGCCAGTGTAGTTGTTCGGCACAGGAGCGGCATGCTGCGCGG